GCCTTCGAGTTTGTCTGTCATTTCATAGTACATGTATAAACACCTGGCTTTAAAATGAAGCTTGTGGAATAATCTTCTCTGTTACATAATTTTAATACGTAAAATAATGAACGTGTTGAAAGTCATTTAACGCTTAGTTTGTAAAATATATTACAAAATGAAAAGAAACTAATACAATCATTTCTATAAGTGTTCATGATCTTTGCATTTGGATTACATTACAAAGGCATCTTATCTGCAGCTATGTGTTAATATAAAATTAACTCATTTCATTTAAAATCAATTTTGTAAGAAGGAGGGAGAAAGCATGCTCAACTGTTTATCAGGCAAAAACAAAATCAAATTGACAGACAGTGACCAAATTTAATTATAAATCCCATTAAAGCACACATCATTCCTATTTAAATAGACCTTAATAACATGATAGGCCTATCCATGGCTTCAGAGGGATTTTGAGAGACAAAAAACAAAGCGATATTTAAGAAATGTTTTATTGTTCACCGACAATTATACATTACTGCTTATATTTGCGCTAAACGAGAAAAATAATAAGTATAGATAAAATTTTTATTTGTGTGGTATTCTGAAACATTTTAAGGTATTGAAAGTTATTCCTATTGTTTTTCCTTTTATTTCTGATATTTTGCAAAGAAAATTGTCTTTCAGTTCAATATCAGCGAGATTAACGTTTCTTTAAACTGGATTCTTGGATCACATACTAAGGGCAATGGTTACTGAGCAATTGGCTCCTCGCTTGTCTGTGGAGAGATATGCAGTTTGGAAGGCTGCCATCACTTGGTGGGAGCAGCATTCGGCTCATCTTCTTCAGTTCCTTGTAGTTGTTAGGGTCCTGCGCGCCACGTGCCATGCGATTGGCCGACTTACGATTCCTGTGGCTGCGTTTCCTTTGCACGGAACCAATCGATAAACGACTTGCGTTTTTCAGGCTCATTTTACTCGCCGCAGGGTTTGTCGTCTGCTTTCTATCTGCGGTGCCCGAATGTATGGTGGTGCTGCTCTGGCTGCGCGTGCTTTTCATGGCGTTCATCTCCTCACGTGTCATAGGGACCACGTGGCGGAGGCCTTCTTGAAGGGAGAAAAGGAATCGCTGTTCCACGTCACTAAACACGTCAACACCTAGGGGAAGATAGTTTTGGAAAATAAATTAAACATGTTGCCATCGTAAAAAAAATCCTTAGAAAAT